AAAGTATTGTCCTTTTTCAAGAGTACAAACTTCAAACCCAAGACTAGTTACACAAAAAACATTATTTAATATTAAAAGGTAGCGTTCTTCATTTGAGATGTGTCAATGAGACTCTCTCAAAAGTGAAATTTTTGTAGATTTTTTTATCATTTCATGTTTTTTGCACAAAAATATTGATACAAATATTAACATTAAACTGTAAGTCTGTAATACGACAAATAGTCGAAAATCTCACCTTAAAAGAGTTCATATTCTTATCCAGACTACATTACAATTACTTTGCTGTGCTTGCGTCCATGATAACAAATTGTATTCCCACATAAAAAAGTTTCGGTGGATAAACTTCAATTCAACGATATTTTATTATCCACCCATAACAATATAAATAAAAGAAAATTAGTGGCATTCAATAAAAAGTCTGTAATCCCACTAGAACTTACCATCACGCATTACATAAAACGTGAATTACAAAAATATTTTTGTAAAAGAAGTTCAAAACTTGGGTACATAGACTGCCTCCATTTTAATTATATAGATTTGACGTGAAAAAGGATGACCAGCTATCGACTACAAATTTTTCCTTCTTTTTAGTTGGTGATGTGACCGGCAGTGTAAGATAAACTCACACAAGCGAAGTTTTGAAAAAAAAAATCAAAAAAATTAAAAAAAAATGTTTATTTTACATTTTCCCTATTGGTGCATGATGTACAACTATTCAGGGTAGAAGTCATAATATAGGTTGAACGTACAGCCATGATGCAGCTCACCATATAGTACCAATATTTAAAAAACGGCGATCCTTTTCGTGTGTGTACCGTTCATCGTATATCATACGGTTAGTTTTCATTAGGTGCTATATATATTTACTTTTAAATTTAAAATTTAAAATAATTTATGACATCACAATATACATAAACGGTCATGATTATGAATCTCTTGAAATTCCTAAAAATGATCGATAATGATCCTTTTCCTTAAAAAACATTGGCTTTTCTCCTTATAATTTTTGACTCAGATAGATCAGAAGATACCCCTCTGTCCCCTTGGCCCTTGTTGAGAAAAGTTACCTGCTCCAAAAGACAATTATATGAAATTTCTAGTTGTTACTAGAATCATGCTTATTTCTTAAGAAAGAAATCCGGAACACTGACAAGCATTACAAACCCATAAAGCTCAACAAAATTATAAATCTAGTCTATAATGGACAATGTAAAAAATTCTTCTTCTTAATAATTGATATGTTTTATTGGTATCCACTTCACATGATTAACACGAAATTAAAGCAAAATATGAAGATTACTAATTATATCGCCTCCACATTAGTTTAAGTGTGATTGTTTCTTCTATGTTATAAGAATCGGACATTTTTAACTTGATTTCTATAACAGAATTGCTACACTAGTATGAGTTTGATATAAATAATCAATTATTATTATGGGACTCATCTACTTCCAATCAAGCTCACGCGTTCAATAATATATGAACTCAATAATTAGAACACTCTCATAAAAATCAAATTCTCAAACGACCATAAGGTATGGATTCTTTTAAATTAGAATAAAATTAATTTTATTAGGCTATTGGGAAAGCCTAAGGGGAAATAAAATAAATATATAATTCAGTCAACAATATGGGGTCATTTTGTCAAAGTATTGTGTTGGACATAGGCTTGTTTATTATGCAGAGGTAGTTAAATTCTTTAGATAACCTTAATTAGTTGTCCCACTTTGTCTTTCTGGATACACCCTCATCCCGTGATACTGTCACAAACACAAATGTTGGTTCTTCATAGTATACATATCACCAACTATAATTTGTTCAGTAATATTTTGTATTAATTTGCCTCCCCTCGTTGAAACCCATCTGATTAATAGAGTTGCCTTTGTGAGTTTATGACTCGTACTTAATTATTGTTCTGGAAATAGCTGATCAAAACAAAAGGATGACATTATCTCGAATAATATTTAGGGAACTTTAACGAAAAGCACCCGGTACTGTTCACTTTAACGAAAAACCACATTTTTACACTAAAAAGTCAATCCTGGTACTATTCACTTTACCCTTTATTTTGTCCTTATCATTAAAACTCAAAGTTTTCAAGCCATTTTCATTAGTTTTCCTTTAATATTTATTATAAAAATATGAGTTAATTGTCGATCTACTGTGCAGTAGTAGAGAGAGTGCTGTAGCATCAATTTAGTCCTTACAAGTCAGCAGAATATAAAGACGTAAGACGGTTTGCCCAAAAAAAAAAGACGTAAGACGTTTGAGAAAGTAACACTTTATATGCTTTATGCAGGTAATCAGCAGCTGAAGGGCAATTCAAATTTGACCCCTGTATTTGATTGATTTATTCAATGAATTTGTGACTGAGAATGATCAACCTCTTTGGATCAAGTTGGCAAATCCGCTGATTGGTTTTCGTCTGGTACTCGACAAGGTGAATATTCATATCAAAAGGCTAACTTATTTTGTTTCAGAAAAATACTTTATTTGTGATTGTTGGACCTGAAGCGTGAATAGTCTATCTGATATAATATTTTAAAATGAGCAGTAAACAATATATGCAGTCTTCAGTGCAGAATATTACTCTCGACATAACTGTGCATGTAAAAAGAAGTATCCTCTGCAAGTGAGCCCTCTATCACAGTGAGGGAAATAAGTGTTACCTTTGCATCATGGTGTGAGTTCAAATCTCATCGGCTCGTTAAATCTAACAAATTTATCGGTTAACAAAAAAAAAGAAGAGAAATATCCTCTTATTTTCTAATGGAAAGCACTATTACCACATCATTTTTTATTTCTCATACATCTTTGTTAATTATTTTTTTATTAACTATTTTAAAAAAAATTAAGAAAAATATGTAAATAGTAAAAATGAATGTGTCCAAAAACAACCATCCTTTCTTTATATGTATTAGGAATTTAGGAGTCATGTGTTTTTCACATGAGAGAGAGGATATTCAGAGAGAGAAAAAGTTTTGTTATATGACATATACAATTACTTAAAAAAGGAAAGGTAATTAATTAAGATTCCACGTAAGCATGGAGGTAATTATCAAAGTGCGCAAATTAAGAATGATTTTCTCAGTCTGCCGAAAACGAAAGAGAAAAGAAGGATGATTACCAACTTTGACGAGTTGACTGCTCCAGAACATGAATGTGCATTAACATGTACACTCGAAAAATCAAGCAATGTTAGGCACTCTTAAGTTTGAACCCTTATTATTAATAATCCAGTCAAACCAGCCGAGTTATTCTGTACATACCATGAAACTGGTTGTGAAGGCTTGCTTATCTTAATAATTGAAAGTTCCAACTTGATCATAAGAGGAAATTAGAGCAGTGGTTCTTAATTTTAGTTTGATTGGAACTAAACTAAAAATTGTGAGCTGGACCTTGAACTTTAATTTTAGGTTGAAGTGTTACTCAAAAAAAAAAAAAAACCATTACTCCACATTATGATAAGTTCATGGACCAATACACCAATTTTTCTTCAGAAGATAAATACGATAAGCTAGAGATAATACGAAATGAGTTTGATGAGATCATAAGTTTTATGACACATGTTTATTTAATTACTATAATACTAGAAATAGGAATTAGAATTATGTTAATTCATGATTTCTGAGATGTTCCTCTCACATATGTAATACTTAAAAACAGAGAATAATTAATTAGGTGGAATAGTGGATTTCTTACCACTCTTTCTTTCCCTAATAACGATTTCTTACAAGTGACTCTTTACCATAGTGGTGAATAAATGTTAAACTCATATATGATGGCGTGGGTTCAAATTTCATCGATGACTAATTTAACATTTTAATTTAATAAAATCTATCGTTTGACCAAAATAAAAAAAAATAAAAACGATTTCTCATATTCATAACTTCTCTCTATATTTTTAAGTCGGTAAACATGCCAAAAGTTATACCTTAATATTAGGTAATCTGAGAATATCAAAACTGGGTGCATGGCAATTACCTGCAAATAACTGCCTTCCACAAACTAATCAACACTCTTAAGCCAACACGTGTTCAGAACAATTGATATTCATGGACATGGATCCTCTCGGGATCCATTATCCTAATTCCCCTAGTCAAATCATCCGGATCATTGAAATTTGATCCAATAGCTACAAACAGAGACCAATTTTAAAAGTTATAATAATTTAAGTCGTTAAATCAAATTTTAATGATCCGGATGATATGACTAGGTGGATTAGGACAACTATATCCGGAAAGGATCCATGTTTGAGATTCATAGATATGTACTAGAACAACCAATGAGAGTGCACCACATCATCACAAGTGATGCCATAGTGGCAAAACAACGAGTAGGCCACGCCCATATATGCATATCCAAATCCTAGATGCATATAAGGTATTTCTCCCAATTCGTTCCTTTCCAAGAGTTAAACCACTCCCTTCTTCTTAAACCTGTAATGTACAGTGACACTGTCACTTGTAATAAAAAATCCTTTAAAAATTAAAAAGAAGAAAGATCCATAATATTTATATACGCGACCTTCCTCGATTTTGCCTCCTCTCAGCTGAGCAGAAGTGAACAAAATAGAGCACAAGGTGTGCAGCTAACATATTTGAAAACCTTTACAATCGTGTCCCCTTTAATCACTAATACAATGGATCAGGATCCTCCTGACCCTAAAAAGTGAGTTTGTTGAACAGGTAATTGTGATCGTTAAAATTTGATCTAACGGCTACAATAATTATAATTTTTAGAAGATCTCATATTCGTAACCATTGGATCAAATTTCAACAGCTACGATTGCATGCTAAACAAGTTCAGTTTTTAAGAGTCAGGAGAGATCCTGATCCTAATACAATACCCCATCGTGGGTCCCCCAACGCATTTCTCTGAAAAAAAATTGAGAAAATTAATCAAACACTACCTTCCTTCCTCCACTTGTATATATTTGCCACAAGCAATCACTCCTCTCAGTCTTAACAATCAGCTCTGCTTTCTCTCTCCCTCACCCTCTCCCTCTCTCAAGACTTCCACAACTTCTTGATTTCTCACCCAACTTCCCACCACATTCTCCAAATCTTTCTCCAAATTTAGCATATCCCAAATTTGTACCCCATTCAATACTTTTACAAATTGTGTCACGTTAATTTGTTCGTACCTAACTAGCTGTTTGGATATCACTTCCTTTTCATTTTATTATGGGTACTGATCATGCGTACCCTTCAACCAATGTGGAGGACTCTCTACACCGAGTAGAGATCCCACCACCTCAACCTTTCATCAAAACATTGAAGTCTTCTCTCAAGGAGACCTTCTTTCCTGATGACCCTTTGAGGCCGTTTAAGAACCAACCTACTTCAAGAAAATTCATTCTTGGCTTCCAGTACTTCTTTCCAATCCTCGAATGGGCGCCTCGCTACACGCTCGAGTTCTTGAAATCAGATCTCAATTCCGGCATCACCATCGCTAGCCTGGCGATCCCACAGGGGATTAGCTATGCCAAGCTTGCTAACTTGCCACCAATTCTTGGCCTATGTAAGTAGCCTTTATAACAAAATTAGTCATTTTCTTCCTTCAAGTTATTCATGCTCCCAGTTTGTCGTTCTGCACTCAGAACTAAATACTGTCGGAATGATTTTATCCTTTTTTTCTCTAAATTTTAACGTGACTGGATTAATAACAATTATAGGTCACATGTGTCATGTGCGAGTTGGGTTGTGATAGATTATTGAACTTTATTTGTTTATTATTAATTAAAATAATTACTAATGCAGATTCAAGCTTTGTTCCACCATTGATTTATGCCATGATGGGGAGCTCAAGAGATATGGCTGTGGGGACTGTGGCTGTGGCCTCACTTCTCACAGCTTCAATGCTGGGGGCTGAGGTCAATGCTGCAGAAAATCCTACCCTTTATCTTCATCTTGCCTTCACCGCAACCTTCTTTGCCGGAGTTTTCCAAGCTTCCTTGGGTTTGTTGAGGTTAGCAATTTACTAATGATTCTTTTGTATTACGGTCTAATGATATTCCTCTTGCCGTCCTCTTGCTGTCGCTTGTAAGTGAGCGGTCTTAGGTAGGTTCAATTACCGCCGAAGGAGAATTCGAAACACATTATTACTAGTACATTGTGAGGTTATTTTTTTTTGTGTGAGTATATTGATATTTTTACATTAGGGGGGGAGCTCGACTAAGTCATACAATGAACAACCTAATTTGGTATCGAATTCCCTATCAACGATATTTGAATCTAAAACCTCTCACTTCTAAGCGAAGAGGAATACCACCAGATCGTAGTACTGAGTGGCTAGAAGCAAACTTGTTAACTTTCATAAAAAGACAGAATAACATATGATGATTAATTGTAGTGGAACAACAAGACAATCTCAAATTGTATTTGTTTTCTGGTTTTTTTTGTCTTTTAGGAGAAATAAGTTTGTCCTAGTTCAATATAGACTAATGAGATTCGATCAGAGTAACGCTCATTTTTGTAACGGATTGTATTCAAGATCCTGCATAGAGAGTGATCGATCACTGCCAGCTTATATAGATTGGAAAAATTAAAAAAAAACAAGATAAGGATAGAAAGAAGATNTTGGTTGTTGGCTAGAGTGTTATGCTACTAATGATGGATTATATTAATTTTTTCTCCTTTTTCTTTTTGTTCTTGAAGAGCAAATATGTTGGGGATGAGCAAGAACATAGATACCTGCAGATGGCAGGAGTAAATTTGATGGATAAAACGTTGATTGTTCAGGGCGCTCGGATTTCGTTTAGCATGTGGGATGTGGGAGGTATGCACATAAACACGCGAAAAATGTTGTGTTACCAGACAGTCTGACGGTATGATGTATTTAATTTGTTGTTATACGTTCTTTGTAGGCAACCAGAGTTCGATAGCTCATGTTCCAATCGCCTGTAAAGATGCAGTAGCAATTTTGTTCATGTTTGATCTTACTAGTAGGCGCACGCTAAACAGGTCAGCTCATAATCTTCTGATATGTAACATTTTAACCCAAATTGTTTAGCAATTAGCACTATGGTTAATAATACTAATAGAAACTGGTGCCTTTTGTGTTCTTGCAGTGTCATTGGATGGTACAGTCAAGCAAGAAAATGGAACCAGGTACTATATACAGTTTATCTTTTACATATTATAATTGAGTAATTAAAATTAGAGACATCCATAGTTAATTAGCCAATAATTATATTTATTTATGTAATTAATTAATCAAGTTCTTACTTTGTGTTTGTTAACGTGCAGACAGCAATTCCCATACTAATTGGGACTAAATTTGATGATTTTGTGAGACTTCCCCCAGATCTGCAGTGGACAATTGTAACCCAGGTATACAAATTTCCTGCAAATTTTGATTAAAACTAATACTACCTAGAGGGAAAGACAAAAATGATATAGTGAATGGGTTAGTCGTAATAATTACTAGTATGCTATTAGAGGCGAAGCCATCTTTGGACTAGGTTGAACTGTGAGAACTTTAACGAAAAGAACCCGGTACTGTTCACTTTAACGAAAAACCACATTTTTATACTAAAAAGTCAATCATGTTACTATTCACTTTACTCTTTATTTTGTTCTTATCATTAAAACTCAAAGTTTTCAAGCCCTTTTCATTAGTTTTCCTATGTAAATATGTAGGATTTTCACCCATCAAGTAGAAATGAGCGATCCCACCCAATTATGTCTTGGTGTCAGGGCCCACTTCTTTTAAAATTTCTGGTTCTACTTACAGAGTTAACTTTACTTATCATTTTGACTAGATTTTTCTTAACTGTATATGAGTGTATCTCTTTTCAACGTTTGAAAGGTCTAGGTTCGATTCTTCCATTTCTGACCAATTATATAAACATCATTTCACCGAAAAAGAAAACATCACAATTGGCCATATCCCAAATAAAGAAACCCAAGTCCTAGTTATTGCCTTGACGATTACGGTAGCTGAAAATTTAGTTTTCAAAGTGTATCATGTGAAGGAGAAGAATGTTTTGGATAATAAATGGTAACGAAGACTTGGGGGGTCTTCTCCTGTATCTTCCGAGACTTGACATCTGCCGCACTCATGCTTTTCTTTCCGCGTCAAGATCAAATTCTGTTTACTCACTTAATTGAGTATCCGTTTTCCTCATTTTCTTGCTAGGATTGGAAATCCTGTATTTTACATATCCATACATGGAGGGATTTTTCGATATTAAGATAAAAGGGTGGATATATATTTTTTTTTGCAGGCCAGGGCTTATGCAAAGGCTATAAAGGCGACCCTCTTCTTCTCAAGTGCAACCCACAACATCAATGTGAACAAGGTCTTCAAATTTATCTTGGCCAAGCTTTTTAACTTGCCTTGGAAAATAGAGAGAAATTTGACTATTGGCGAGCCAATCATCGATTATTAAATTTTTGAAATGTATTCTTTTACTTCACTCATTCTGTGTACATATTTTTTTGGGGAAAAAAAAGATGGGGAATGATAACTAATCATTTTTCTCTTTTTACACAACTTTGTTTGATTTTGTTTGTTGTTTTCGGTTTGATTAATTCACCATGGTGGGTGTGTGAGAGGAGAAAAATTAGATGTTGTTTTGCATTTAGGGTTCACCCCTGTCTATCATGTTATTTGGTGATTAGTCAGATAATGATAGAAGAAGAGACATAATGATATTTGGTCTACCTTCCTCACTCATTGTTTACCACGTGGATTTTGTCTTCACGTAAAAATGAGTGTTAAATGTGTTTAAAATTATACTCTGTTTGCGGATAATCAAGCCTAGTGTGGTTGAGTTGATTGTAATTTTGGGAATAGTTGACGTTTGTAGTCTTTTGTGCGGGACGATTTTTTTCTTTAGACCGAGTTGAAATTTCCGGTAAGAATTTTATCGAAGCCCATTATGCATCATATTCTCAAGCTTTTTGTTCGTTTTCAATTTCATCAATGAATATCGTATCTTTTCCTGAAAATTTTTACAATTTCCTTTCCACTTGTACCCCAATTAAACGAATCTAGCCCGTTATATACTCTTTCTCATTTATTTATTTAATTTTTTTTTGTCAAAGGTTACTTTATTAGCAAATTACAACGTAATTACAAAATAGAGGCCCAAATACAATATCCACACGATCAAAAGAGTGGACCTCTAGAGTAACCTTTAGGCCCAAAACAGAGAAACAGAGAAAACACAAAAAGCAAACCCTATCTACTTCCTTTTAACGTCGTCGCTGCAAGCGCCACTACAACACCCCACAACGATTACAAACCGCCACCGCTAAATATTTTCAGGAACCAGTACCTCAGATATGGAAAGATAATGGACTTCGTCTTCCGTCAAATAACATTCTTGCTGATCGCAGCCACCAAGTAAGACAAAGTTACAAACCAAAGAAGTAGGTGGGATTACCACAAATGACCCGTGCAAAATAGGTAGACATAGAGAAGGAGGTGGTGTGGCTACGGTTTGAACAATGGAACTTTACGCACCTTCCCAGTTAAGGACAACAACAGTTCGCGGTCAAAAGTGATTGCAGATCGAAACGAAGATGGAATCGGCGTGCGCCAGATGAAGGACATGAAGATGGATGGGTGATGAATGAATCTGGGGGCAGGAAGATCAGTGATAGTAGGAGTGGAAAGGTTAGGGAAAAAAAGAAGGAAATTAGGGAAAATCAACAAAAAGAAAAGAAAGAGGAAGCATAGATGATGAAGAAGGAGCTGCCACCGACCAAATCGGAATTAGTGCCGGTGGCTAAAAAAAAAAATCTGGGCTTTGTTGCCGTTCTCACTCACGGAGAGAAAAATCTGTCACTCTCAGAGAGAAGATCTTTCACGCACGGAGAGAAAGTTATTTGAACAGAATAAATGTGATGAAAATTTAGAATAAATGTCAAAAAATTCAAAATAAATGTGATAACATTCTTTTTATGGAAAACAAAATGTGATAAAAAGTTCGAGAATGCAAGTGGTAGATTGCTTTGGTGGTAACATCATCTTATTTAACTCACTATCTCAGGTTTAACCCTTTTCCTCCTCTTAAAGTATGTTAGCGTAGAATATCGTTTGACAAAAACATTTAATTTCCATTTTCCTACACTCAAGTTTTGCAAAAATACACTTTACTACACTTTGGCTACGACACTAGTTCTATTCAAACTGCTAACTATGATTCGGATTTTCTGCCAGACTTCAGGTTCCCTCTCCAGCATGCGCACATCATGATTTGCCAGAGGATAAAGATCGAATGGAAGAAGCAGGCAAGAATAGATAGAATTTTTTAGGGAAAAGTGCTTTGAGATCAAAGATCTTTCAACGCTCCTACTAAGACGAAAGACCAACTGACCAAGTATAAAAGTGGCACTAAAATCAAACTTTAAGTATGAAATGGGATGAAAAGCAAGTGTATAGTAAAGTGCGATTTTTGCAAACTTGAGAGTAGTAAAGTGAAAATTACTCTTAAAAAGTTGTAGAATATTTATTTTCTTTTCAATGGTGAAAATTGTAGAGAGATTTATTTTTAATTAAATGGCTTATGTAACTAGCATTATGGTATAATAATATTCCTCTTCACTAGCATGTTGGAGTTTGAATTTTGACTTAGATGACAATTTTAATTCCTAATTGTTATTCTTGGCACATTGTGGCTTAGTCAAAATACCTCCAACCCTTAGACTAAAATATTATTGTGTATATATATATATATATATGCTAGGGAGACCAAATTTCCTAAACCAAATGAGGTGGCTGATGAGTTGGCTATGACATGTCACTAATCCAAATTTTAAAAACTCTTAATTACTTATAAAAAAATTAATGATAATTTTGAATGCCCGTTTGCATGTTTAACTATGTGGGACTCTTCTTCTTCCTCCTCTCTCTTCTCTCCCTTTTTACTTCATCATATCTCCTTCTACATTCTTGATCTTCTTGCTTTTCCATTTTGAACAACTCATTTTCTCACTTTGCGGATCGAACAATTCATTCTCACTCTGGAGATTGAACAATTCATTCTCTTGCTCTTCTATTTCTAACGATCCCCATGAAGAAGACATTGTAAGAACTCAAGATTTATACACTATGAAAAAAGATTTAGAGTGATTTTGATTTTGGTGGGTGAGTTTAGGTTGGATCTAGCATTTATATGGAGAAAAAACAAAGGTTGAGGTTGTAGATAATGACACGCGGCATGCCGTGATTGATTGAAAATATATCCACAAGGATTATGTACATATAGTGACAGGCGCCCCATGAGAATGGTTAAAATTGGGTTAATCTCAGTTTATTATCCTGAAATTTCTTGGTTTTTAACATTTGGTACATCAAGTTTTTTTTCATCCCAGAGTGGTACCTAAATTCATAATTTTGGGACACTTTCATACATCCATTAAAGTTGCTATTAAATCAACCATTAACTGCTGACGTGGCACCCACGTGTAGGGGTGGCCACGGGTCGGGCCGGGCCCAAATTTGAAGGAATCGGACACAACCCATTTTAAAATGAAACGGGGTGGGTATAGCAATTCTAATTCTTGGAACCGGACTTAACTTGACCCATTTGAAACGGGCCGGTTTAGGGTCAAGTCCACGGGTCCAATCATTTTTCTTTTTTTCAAAAACAAATTATTACTTTGGTATCATTTATTCAGGAATCAGGGAATAATATTCCTTCCTTGTAAAACCTTGCTGAGCACAGCAGTAATAACTCAATTTTCTCGTTCAGTCTCAAGCATAATTGTGAAATCCCGCCCCTGGAATTTCACTATTGACTACGTATTTTCATTATTAAATTTCGTATTTTGGTTACATTTTTTTTAGTTAATTTTTAATTCCGTAAATTTTAGGAATTAAATCGAATAGTTATCAGGTTTGAAATTTTCATAATTAATCTTTAAAATTCGTTGACCTTTCGAGGTCATAATTAATGTTTTCAAATAGATCTCGAAACCACGAGTGCATAGGCGAAAACCGTTTGCGAGTTCAGATTATTAAACTCCCGCAAGGAAGAAGCCCAATCAAATTAAGGAAAAATAAGGGGACCAATCAGCTACAAGGACAAGTGACCTATCAAATTAAAGTAACTAAGCAACCAATTAGGAAGAGACATAGAGAGATAAAAAAACAAGGAAAGGAAATGACCTCCCTCTTCTTGTCCACCGTACACCCACAACAAAACTACCCAGTTCTAATTCCGGCGATTCTGCCATTTTTTCCATTGAATCACCACCATCCAACACCTGCAAAACACTTAGTGACTTCCCATCTACCATTCCCGCCCAAGATTGAAGGGTTTTAGGTCCAAATTCGCAATGAACTTCATTGGAGCACCGAAGGTACTCGATGACGATCTCGCCGTTCCAGCAAGTCTCACCACCCACCACCACCACCCTTAATCAACTCCCCTTAGACCTAGTAACAAGACCCAACCAGTTGTAGGGGCGTCAGAACACTGAGGAAGGAGAATCGAAGCTCACCTATTCTAGGGTTTCTGATGGGTGCGAGCCAATTTGGGGCCTTTCCCGGCCAAATTGGACTTGGCCACAGGTATAAAACTTGCTCCACTCCTTGAGATCTTCATTTTGGTAAAATTTGGTAATTTTTAGAGTTAGTCGAAAAATTGGATTTCCGTTTGCTGGAAACTGCCACCTGCGGCGGCGCGTGGTCAATGGGTTGATGCTGCATTTCTAAGCTAAATTCGATGTCCTGATCTCAGATTTGATATTCGTTTACTGTGGTTTGATAGTTTGATTCTAGTATTGAATATTACCACCACTTGATCATTATATGATTCGACGATCCGACTGTTGGATCGTCATCAAACTTTGATAAGTTATAGTACATAATATTTCTGGACCATAGGAACTGACGGATTGGGAATCCAATGCACAGATCTTCCCAAATTGAATTTCTAAGTTTGTAAAACCTAACGTTGATAGCAACCTAATTCTAGCAATTGGCGGAGATTCGACCGTTGGATCACAATTAAATTTTAGTATGTTGTTCGAAATCTGATGTGCGGATTTTTTGGATCGAGTTACGTAGGTTTGTGGACCCTACCATTGACCTTTGACCGACAATTAACTTTTGGTCAACCAGTCCCAAATCATTCTAGAACGTCCTTGGGGATGTGTTTTATGTAAGTTACGTGGTTTATCACTTGGGTTTTGAGACGTGATTTGATATTTGTTCTAGGCGACGATCGTTCGTGACGCCTCTATATTCGGGCTAGGGAGTTGTAGTGCGGGCTCCAGGTGAGTGACTTTAATATATGTGATATTGGTAACTACCATATTTTCGTAATTATTATCCTTTGTGGATATGACTTGGTTTTATAAAAATGTTTTCTATTGAATTGTTATTTTTAAAACTTGGTCATTGATTTATGTTTATGAAATGAAATTTGACGTATATATTTGAAATATGGTTTGATTTGTATGATTGGCATGTTGTGATGAAATGTGAGGGCTAGTAGTGGACTGTTAACCTATTATGATGGGGATTTGTTGCTTTGATATTGTTTCATTTCCCAGTTCGTTGATTTGTTCTAAATTTAGTATTTGTGTCTTGTTTCACTTTGTTAAGCTTTTGTAAATTGAGTAACTTATGCCTTATCTTGTTTCTTTGAGCCGTTGTACGTTATGGTTGTTGGCCTTCCGCTTGGTTCCGTTTAGTGATCTGAAACTGGGTTTCCGTTGGGGTTCCGTTGAGTGGTCCAGTTCCCTGTTCCGTCTGGATTCCGTTGAGTGGTCTGGAATCCATCGTGCTCCGCGATTCATTTGAGTGGTCAGGAATCGTATCCAGCTTGGATTTCGTTGAGTGATCCGATATCCATTTTACTCCACGATTCCGTTGAGA